TGAGCCGAGATCTCGCCACTGCACTCCAGCCTGGGCGACAGAGCAAGACTCCGTCTCAAAAAAAAATAAAAAAATAAAAAAAATAAATAAAATAAACACTGGAATGCAGATATCTCTTCAATACATTCATTTCCTTTTAGTTTATACCTTACAGTGAAATTGCTGGATCATATGGCAGATCTATTTTTATTCTTTTGAGGAACCTCCATACTGTTTTTTACAGAGGCTACATTAATTTATATTCCCAATTAAACTGTCCTACCATTCCCCTTTCTCTCTATCCTCACAAGCATCTTTTTTTTTTTTTTTTTTTTTTTTTTGTCTTTTTGATGGCAATTTTAACTGGGGTGAGATGAAATCTCATTGTGGTTTTGATTTGCATTTCCCTGATTCATGATGTTGAATATTTTTTTCATGTACCTGTTGGCCACCTGCACATCTTCTTTTGTGAAATTCCTATTCAGACCATTTGCCCATTTTAAAAATCAGATTATTTGACTTTTTGCTATTGTTTCAGCTCCTTATATATTCTTGTTATTAATTCCTTGTCAGATGGATATTTTGTGAATATTTTCTCTGATTCAATAGGTTGTCTCTTTGTTGGTTATTTCCTTTGCTGTACAGAAGCATTTTAGTTTAATATAATTCCATCTGTCTATTTTTGCTTTTATTGCCTGTGCTTTTTTTTTTTTTAAGAGATGGAGTCTCACTCTATCACCCAGGCTGGAGTGCAATGGCTCAATCTCGGCTCATTGCAAACTCCGCCTCCTGGGTTCAGGCCATTCTCCTGCCTCAGCCTCCCAAGTAGCTGGGACTACAGGCGCCCGCCACCATGCCCAGCTAATTTTTGTATTTTTAGTAGAGACGGGGTTTCACTGTGTTAGCCAGGATGGTCTCGATCTCCTGACCTCGTGATCTGCCTGCCTCAGTCTCCCAAAGTGCCAGGATTATAGGCGTGAGTCACCGCATCTGACTGCCTGTGCTTTTAAGTTTTTACCCCAAAAAAACTTTGCCCAGAACAGTGTCCTGAAACATTTCCACAATGTTTTTGCCTAATAGTTTCATAGTTTCAGGTCTTACATTTAAGTATTTAATCCATAAAATGAGAAAGAGATTTGAAAGGATACTTCAGTCCAGGCATAGTGGCTCACACCCATAAGCCTGGCACTTTGGGAGACCAAGGCAGGAGGATTACTTGAGCCCAGGAATTAAAGACCAGCCTGGAAAACATATTGAGATCTTGTCGCTACAAAAATATAAACAAAATTAGGTGGGCATGGTGGCATGTGCCTGTGGTCTCAACTACTCAGGAGGTTGAGATGGAGGATCACTTGAGTCTGGGAGGTCAAGGCTGCAGTAAGCCAAGGTCACACCACTGCATTCAGCCTGGGTAACAGAGCAAGACCGTGTCTCAACAAAAAAACAAACAGAAGGCAAAAAGAAAAATGATATGGATACTTCACCAAAGAAAATATGTAGATGGCAAATAAACACAGGAAAACATGTTCAATATTATTAGACGTTAGGGAAATGCAAAATTAAAATCAAAGGTGATATCACTACACACGTAAAATAAAAAATAACTGACAATACCAAGTACTAGAATTCTCATTGCTAGTGAGAATGCAAAATGGCACAGCCACTGTGGAAAAGAGCTTGGCAGGTTTCTACAAAGGAGAACAGTTGGGCCAGGTGCAGTGGCTCATGCCTGTAATCCCAGCACTTGGAGAGGCTGAGAAGGGCAAACTGCTTGAGCCGGGGAGTTCGATACCTGCCTGAGCAACACAGCAAAACCCTGTCTCTAACAAAAATGAGAAAATTAGCCAGACATTGTGGTGCATGCCTGTAGTCCCAGCTACTCAGAAGCCTAAGGGAGGAGGACCACCTAAGTCCAGGAGGACAAGGCTGCAGTGAGCTGTGATCATACCTCTGTTCTCCAGCCTGGGCGACAGAGCAAGACCCTGTAGCAAAACAAAACAAAAGAAAAGGAAAACATTTTCTTAGAAATCAAAACATACACTTACCATACAACCCAGCAATGCACAAGGTATTTACTCAAGAGAGTAAATAATTTTGACATCCATTAAAATCCTGTATGTGGTCAGGTGTGGTGGCACACACCCGTAATCCCAACACTTGGGGAAACTAAGGTGGGAGGGTCACTTGAGGCCAGGAGTTTAAAATCAGCCTGGGCAATATGGCGAGACTCTATCTCTCACAAAAAATTAAAAAACTGAATGTGGTAGCGCATGCCTGTAGTCCTAGCTCCCCGGGAGGCAGAGGTAGGAGGATCACTTGAGCCCAGGAGGTTGAGGCTGCAGCGAGCCATGTTTGCACTACTGCACTCCAGCCTGAGTGACAGACTGAGACTCTGTCTCAAAAAAAACCCACCCACATGTCCTTAATTTGGTCAATGGATAAACTGTGATAATATCCATACAATGGAATACTATTTAATAATAAAAATAAACTATGGACACAAGGAATGATATGCATGAATGTCAAATTCAGTATGATAAGTGAAGGAATAATTCCATTTATATGACATTCAGGAAAAACGCAACACTATACAAACAGAAAACAGTTCAGTGGTTGCCAAACGCTGGAACTGTGGAAAGAGGTTGACAACAAGGGGCAAAAGAAATCTTTTGGGTGATGGAACTGTTCTATAACATGACAATAGTGGTGGTGGTTGGTGGTTACATGACTGTATCTGTTTATCAAAACTCAGAACTATACACCAAAAAATATGAATTGTACTGAAGGTAAATTATACTCCAATTAAAAAACTTAAGGTAAACACCAAAAGAATAGAAATGTAACAACTTTCAAACTAGCTGAGGAAAACACAGAATAAAGAAAATAATCTAACAGAAGACATAAAAGGAGCAGAAAAATGATAAAAATAAAAACAATAAGAAGGCAGGCCGGGCGCGGTGGCTCAAGCCTGTAATCCCAGCACTTTGGGAGGCCGAGGTGGGTGGATCACCTGAGGTCAGGAGTGTGAGTCAACATGGTGAAACCCCATCTCTACTAAAAATACAAAAATTAGCTGGGTGTGGTGGTGCATGCTTGTAATCCCAGCTACTCAGGAGGCTGAGGCAGAAAATCGCTTGAATCCAGAAGGCAGAGGTTGCAGTGAGCCAAGATCGCACCACTGCACTACAGCCTGGGTGACAGAGTGAGACTCCATCTCAAACAAACAAACATACAAACAAATAAATAAAATCATGGCTCTTAGTTGCACCAATTCAATAAGGTGCCTATTTCCTCCAGTAAAATTTAAGTAACACAGTGCTGGCAAATGGACCTAGTATAATTTTCAAAGGTGTTGTAAAAATGTAATGACAGACATTAGATTAGGTAAACTGAAATGAGGACAAAGTGTACTTTCAGTTGACTTTGAAACTTCAAAAGAAATGAATCAGTAAGAAAAGAAGAAAGACTGATTGGTTATGAACTGAAAAGGTCAAGGTTGAACAGAAAATGAACAAGAATGAATTTCAGAGATAGTAATCCTCTATTTCCCACCAGGTACAGATGTATAAACAGAGAATTGAAGACTTCGCTGAAAATAAATTAAAACCTATTTTGTAAGACTTTAAATTTTTTTTAAAGATATCAATGAAAAATGTACTTCTACATCTACAATGTTATCTAAACCTCAAAACAGTAATTTTTTGATAGAGTATTATCTATTTGACAATGATGAAACTGAGACATGAAGATTAAGGCATAAATATCATACCCAACAGCAGACCCAGAACTAAAACATAAATTCTGCTAATCTCCATTCCTACTTTTCTATCAACTTAAGTGGAAAGAGGAAGTAAAATCAGTCCCTCAATTCAAAACCCACTTATGTATAAAATCCACATATAAACGGCCTTTCTATAAGAGTGGTTTGCTGCTACAATAACGAACAAACTTCTCAGGTCTCACGTGAATAACAAGTTCATCTAATGCATTCTAAATTGTTTCATTTACAAAATCAAATAAAGAAAAACTTAAAAATATCACCTACACCTACTATATTTATCTTTGTGATAGCTTCACCATAGCGCTGCAGTTAAGTACTACTTTTCCTTTTGCTATAACTCTAACATAGCACGTAATTTTTACATTTTTTGAATATTACAAACTGATATTCTAAGGCTTATGTATCAGTTTATTTTTTAATTCATTTTTTTTTAATTTCAAACTTGCTCTTCCTTGTATGTGCTATTTTTTGTTTGTTTGTTTGTTTCTGAGACAGAGTCTCGCTCTGTCGCCCAGGCTGGAGTGCAGTGGCACAATCTCGGCTCACGGCACACTCCGCCTCCCCGGTTTCCGCCATTCTTCTGCTGCCTCAGCCTCCCAAGTAGCTGGGACTACAAGCGCCCGCCACCACGCCTAGCTAATTTTTTGGTATTTTTAGTAGAGATGGGGTTTCACCGTGTTAGCCAGATGGTCTCGATCTCCTGACCTCGTGATCTGCCCACCTTGGCCTCCCAAAGTGCTGGGATTACAGGCGTGAGCCACCGCGTCCGGTTGTATGTGCTATTGAATACCGCAAGTGGCAAAACTCCTTTCAGCCAGAAGATGGGACGAATTCTGAAAAACACTGCTCAGAAAACCCCAACAACTAAAGTATTCCATTAAATATGTGTCAGTCCTAATTCGTAACTCTAAGTACTACCCTCAACTTCTGAAGCCAACATACTATAAATTTACAGTAACGTTATCATAACTAGGCAAAGAAAAAAAATTCCATTGACTGAACACCCAAAAGATAACCAAGACACCTGTAAAACACAAGCAAATGTGATGAGATACTTAACACTGTACAAGCATTCCAACACAACTATTCTCAAATATTTTATCAAAAAGTCAAGAACTTGAGGAAAAAAAAATAACTGCTAAAGTACATTTGTTACACAGATTTCTTCACCTAACAGTAAAGTAGAAAGTAGGATTGATCTAGGATACTCATACAATTCCTACAACTGCATGTCTTAATTATAATAAAAAGATGATGTATAATAGGTTATTTTTCCTACAGAAAAGCTTATTAAAATGTTTAATCAAATGGAAAAATATTAAATAAGATCTATATTATAAAGTTTAGACTTGATATTAATAATCGAGACCTTTAATAATTTGGTAAATTATATTAATGGCATCTAGTCCTTCAGAAAATTCCTAAGGTTTTCATTCTTTCTTTGCTTAGGAAATTGGGTAACCATAGTCACAAGCAGGCAGAAGCAGCTCAGAGGTGGAGATTAGCAAGGGCAGCACAAATTCCCGTGTGCTAATGTACAAAGAACAGCTCCTGATCCTAAAGAACTCCACTGTCCAAGAAAATAATAAATTTGGAAAAAATGTCTTTTACATTATACATTAAGATATGTTCGGGCCAGGCGTGGTGGCTCATGCCTGTAATCCCAGCATTTTGGGAGGATCACCTGAGGTCAGGAGTTCAAGACCAGCCTGACCAACATGGAGAAGCCCCGTCTCTACTAAAAACACAAAAAAATTAGCCGAGCCTGGTGGCGCATGTCTGTGATCCCAGCTCCTCGGGAGGCTGAGACAGGAGAATCGTCTGAACCCAGGAGGCAGAGGGTGCAGTGAGCCGAGATTGTGCCATTGCACTCCAGTCTGGGCGACAATAACGAAACTTTGTTTCAGAAATAAATAAATAAATAAATAAATAAATAATAAAAAAGATATGTTCAAAGCTGGTAATCCCAGCAGTATGGGAGGCGAAGGCGGATGGATCACCTGAGGTCAGGAGTTCCAGACCAGCCTGACCAACGTGGGGAAACCTCGTCTCTACTAAAAATACAAAAAAATTAGCCGAGCGTGGTGGTGCATGCCTGTAATTCCAGCTACTAGGGAGGCTGAGGCAGGAGAATTGTTTGAACCCAGGAGGCAGAGGTTGCAGTGAGCGAAGATTGCACCACTGCACTCCAGCCTAGGCAACAAGAGTGAAACTCCGGTCTCAGGAAAAAAAAAAAAGTACGTTCATACCATATTATCTACTTCTTTTACTTTCCAGAATAAAGGACACAATCATAAAAAAGGACCAAAAAGAAAAAAGCCATATATATTAAGGAGACACTATCCCAAGTACTGTGATTTGAGCTTTACAAATTAATTGAATATATTATCACATATACTCCAAAACTATGCACAACTTTTATGCATCAATAAGTAACAAAATAAAGACAAAGATTTATGTGGCAGAGTGTTTACCAGTGAGTTTTTATAGTTTGAAAAAAACAAACAAAATGTTCAAAATGGAAAAAAGTTAAATATATTTCACCGCCACCATGAAATCAAAAGCTATGAAATCTTTAAAGAAGCCATTTTTAGGAATAATTTAATGACATACATTTATTTACTTTTTTTGAGGAAAAGAACACATATAAAATTACACATAGCTTAATCCCCATTAATTTTATAATCAGGAAAAAAACATTTTTAAGAAAGATGATTAGCATTGTGTGAATGACAAACTTGGCTGACCACACTAATCTACATTCTAGATCTGGACTGCCAGGAACTAAACAAAAGAGAATAAAGTGGGAAAATTTTATCACCTACCACGAAGGTCTAGGTGATTTCTAGATTAATTGATTTCTAGATTAATTTTCAGTCAGCCTCATATATTCCAATTTTTTTTTTTAATAAAAAGTGAGGCAGAAGTGTCATCCTTTTGGACATTACGTGTGCCATTCCGACAGCAGCTGAGACTTAACGGCACTAATGAATATTTAAATCTACTCCACATTTCCATTATCTTCATCTAAACAATAAAGGTAAGTCTACATTTTAATTCATTGAGGATGAGTTCAAGGTAATCCTGGAATTTTTGAGGAGATACTCCAAAAATTAGGGAGGAAAAATTTATACTGTGTATGACGGAAATTAAAAGAAATAATCAGAGGAGATTTTTGTGGATCCTCCATAACCTAAGGTAAGGAAAAGACAAAAAAGAGAATCTGGAACCCAATTTTGTTATGTGACCTTGGATATGTTTCTTAGCTTCTTAGTATTAGTTCGTTCATCCATAAAACAAAGATAACTAACAACTTAAAGAACTCTAAAAAGTATTAAACTGCCAGCACAATGTTTAGCACACAGTGGGGAACTCAAGAAACAGTAGTTATAAATACTATTTTAAACAATAATCCAGCTGGATAGTGTACAATCTCAATTGTATCAGCCCATCTGAAGTAAATCTCACATCTAAGTAACATTGGGTCTAAATCACTGAGTCCAAAATGATCACTACACTATTACACCATAGAACCAATTACACAAAACTGGAGTCAATGAATTTATTGGTAAGTTCTTGAATGAACACAGGTATAAAATTAGTGGGTTGAAAAGTCTTAATTTCAAACAGAGAATAAAAGGATGGAGAAAAAACAGACTTTCCTGTTATTTAAATAGCAAACCTAAATATTAAAACAAGTAAAGAGGAAATCAAATGGGGGAAAAACAGCAACCATCCCACAATGGCATCTAGAGAGGATGAATAATTTACACCAGTCGGGGTCCGGTCTGGCAATGAAATTGGGAGGAAGAAGTTCTTATATAGGGCTGCTTAACTTGTGATTCCCACTCATCACTGCTTATCAAGAAAATGATGACTGCAACATACATACTAATTTTAAAGAAAGTACAGCATCATTACTACCGTACCGCTCTTTGTGCATATTAGTGTCAATGACATGTCTCAGGTTTTCAATGACAAAATTAAATGTTGCAAATCCTAACTGGCGGATTAAATCTCTATGATCCAAGTATCCCCAGCCCCTACATAATCTCATCAAAGCTGAATATTTAATAAAATTCTGAACTTTGTGTTTTAGAGCTGAAATGTGAGTTAAGTTTTACCTACCCAACAAGACTATACACTCTTCATGGTGGGGACCATTTTAAAAACTATATTACCACTTAAAGAGAACTTTTATAAACTCCACAATCCCGGACATTATGTTCTAACAGTATGTGTTAACGTATCCTCCCAGAATGTAAATACCGGTGTTCATCATGAAATCCTCAGTGTACCTTAACAAGTTTTCCTCTAATCAGGCAAGTAAAAGATGCTGGGTGGATGCAATCATGGCCATTAAAAAGAACGCTGGTATATATATTTTGCAAATTACCCAAGAAGGAAACATAACAGGAATGAATCAGCACAAATTCATCACCACTAAAATATATATGAATGTATTCGGTCAATGGTGGATTTCACTTCATGTGCAGATTATAACATCTTTATGCTTCAAAATGAGTTTGGGATTGTGGGCGGAGGCCGGAAGGTTGACGAGTAAAGATCTGGAAAGCGGGTACTACCAGGGCTGGAGATTTCCCAGGGTTGTCACCGATTGAAAGTGACTTTATGTGCCTTAACAAAGGAAGTCATGAAGGCTTAGCACAGGAGCCTTAGAAGTAAGGAACCGAATACAATGCAACTGTGAACTGAACCCGCTAGAACAGAAGCACGTAAGCGGGAGAGGGTTTTGGGGTTTTTGTCTGTTTTCATCACTGCCACAACAAGGCAGGCGCTTTGAATGGAACGTGGAGGTCTACAACGTATTTAGCGATATGCATTCATCTTAGGAGACGAGTGCAATATTTATTGCCTAAAAATTTTATCGGAATAAACTACAGCGACGACACTACAAAATACTTCCACCATCTCAGGCGCCATTACCCAAGAGGAAAGTCTCATCAGAACGGAGAGCCCTGTGAAATCCGCCTGTGCTCTTCTCGGCGAGAAGTTCTCCAGGACTCCCAGGCTCGCCCCGCGTTTCCCCGGCTCCTGCCCCAGCGCAAAGCGGGCCGAGAACCGCCAGCTGCGCCTCCGGGCCCAGCCTTGGCTGACTGAGGCCCCGGACCGTTACAAACAGCGGGTTTCCGAAGCGTGGGCCGAGAACAGCGAACGCAGGCGGCCCGCACTTACCGCGGCGCAGCTAGTCCCGCAGCCCGCAGCCCACAGCCCGGGGCGGGCTAAGGGGCTTCGGGCGCAAGTGTGGGCTGCGGAAACAGGGGCATAAGTCTGGGCCAAGCACCGACCTGGGCGTCCCGCATTTCCCTCGCGCAACAGCGGTCCCTGGGCCGCGCAACTGTAAGAACAGGAACCGCCGCAGCACTCTCCCAGATCCCTTTTTGCCTCTTCCCGCCCGATTTGTCGCGCGCTCGCGCCCCTCCTCCAACCCCAAAGGACTCCTTCAGGCCTGGAAAACGCCCCTTCCCCGGCCCCTCCCTGTGCGCGTGAACTAGGCAGTTGTTAGGTCTCGCGAGAGGTTCGCCCCCTAGTCGCTCCTCCCCCCAGATAGTGAGTGCGCGAACGAGAAAGGAGGAGGGCGCTCCAGGCGACAGCACTGCAGACGCCATTATCCTCTGTTTCTCTGCTGCACCGACCTCGACGTCTTGCCTGTGTCCCACTTGTTCGCGGCCTATAGGTAATTGGAGTTATTGGAGCTTGGGTATTGCTGATTCGGGCATGGGTTTGGCCTCCCTGAAAGGCTGCGTTGACTTTTCCCAAGCCCGGGTTTTCTCGAGCCCTTAGTGGCCTCACAGCCCGAAGGGAGGCGCTGGCGGGAGGCGGGGTTGTCGCCTCCCCCGTCGTCTTGATTGACGTGGCCTCGGGCCAATTGCTTCGCCCTCGCACCATCGCCGAAGCCCTGGCAGCCAATAGGGCGCGACGGCGGGGAGGACGCGAGAAGGCGGGGGAGGGGAGCCTGCGCTCGTTTTCTGTCTAGCTCCGACCGGCTGAGGCGGCGCGGCTGCAGAGAGACGGCGGCCTCGCGCGGTGAGAAGCCGGGTTGGGGGAGCGGCTCGTGGAGGTGAGGGTCGGAGCCCAGTTTTTCCGCTTGAGGGAGGCATTCTGGGGGCCGCTTTGGTGTTTGGCCGCTTCTCCGAGTGGGAACGTTGCCCGGCGTCCCCTCCCCCACCTCCGCCATTTCCCTGAGCGTGTATCCGCAGTCCGCGTTGTGGTCCTAGAGACTTCGGGGATTCGTGAGGCATGTGCCTTTAGAATGAGCTGGAGCTATGTGGCACTAGGAACTAGGAACCTCGTGGAGGAAAGGAGCCGGGCTGGGGGAGAAGGTCGCGCCGCCGCTCTCTTTGTGTGAGCCCCGCCTCACCTTGGGTCTCCCGGCCCGGGGTCGGAGCTGGAGCGGCGGGGATGGAACAGTCAGGGCTGCCTCGGTGGCTTTGTCTCGGGCGATGGGGGGAGGATGCGGGGGATGAGACCTCGGGACCGCGTGGTGGGTGGGGGAGGGGGTCGGCGCTCGGCTCCGCCTAGTAGCACGTAGTCGCCATTACGCGGGCCGCCATTTCCTGTCGGATCCGGGTGAGGAGAGGTGGCGGCGCTTTTGCTATCGACTCTCGCTTTTTCCAGTCCTGTTACCCGGCTGTTTCCGATCCCGGTACCGGGAGGCGGGGAGGGGAGGGCGCGTTGGCGCTCGGCCAGTCGAGCACATACTTAGCGGATTTTCGGGGCCTGGGGACTAGTGACTGCAGGACCCGAAAGGTGAACGGCACGCGGCAGCGTTATTCTCACAGATAAGCCCTGCTGGTTTTGCTTAAACTTTCTTATCCAAATTTTTCACACCCCACCTCAGAAATTGAGTGCTGGGCCAGGAGAATGTCGTTTCAGTTAGTCGTTAGAAGAGCGATAAGTCCGCCAACGGTATGGGAGAATGGGAGGCATAAAAGTGCCTCGCTTGTTGGCTCTTTGCTGTCTAGCCAACCTTCTAGTAGAGGCCGCTTGTCAGCTCCTAGTCCCGACAAGAGGGAAGCTTAAAAAGGCTGTTTGCAGGCCTGTCGACCGTTCTGGCGCGTAGACACTTTAGTTTTCATATTACAGGCATAATTGTCGGGTTGTACTCTCTCAAGCCTAATTTAAAATAGTCCGCTAGTGACTGTTAGTTTTCAAGGGCTCCATTAGCTTCGCTGGTTAATAGACTGGTAGTGTGATAGTTTGGATCTGGTCCTGTATTAGATTTTTGGATTTATCCCTCCGGTAGATTGTCGATGGATGTGTTCGCAGTGGCCGTTGTATTTGTAAACTTTCGGGGTGTCACATAAGATCGCTTCAAGCATGAGTCGAAAGAAATAGAAAAGCAATTAGAAGTTTTAATATAAAATTAGTTTTTCCAGTGAATAAGATGCATTGTAACTTTTCATAAATGTATGCTTTGTGGATGACATTTATCTTTTCAGGCTTTTGTGAATGTGCCGTATAAAACAATTCATTGCTGTGTTGGGAGTTAATTCAGTGGCTAAAAGTTATTGTTCTAACTTAGCAAAAAATCAAACCAGGCTCCGTTGAATTTTGTATTTTTTAGGCAGTCATTTGAATTGCGAAACACTAAAATGAGTCAAGTTGTAGAAGCAGCTAGTTTTTTGGGTTCAAATCAGTGTTGACTGTGATCAGAAACAAATATTCAGTAATAGGAATAAACAAAAGCAAAACTGATTTCTGTTGGTTCTTATAGGCTACGCAGCACTGGAGTGTCAGTTGTTGGTCCGACCCAGAACGCTTCAGTTCTGCTCTGCAAGGATATATAATAACTGGTACGTTCCAGAAGCAGTGGTTTTTTTTTGTTTTTTTTGTTTGGTTGGTTTTTTTACAGCTTGCTTTCCAATAAGCCAAATGTACTAGCGTCTTTATTTTTCAACAGATTGGTGTGCCCATTTAATAAAAGAATATGGAAACTGAACAGCCAGAAGAAACCTTCCCTAACACTGAAACCAATGGTGAATTTGGTGAGAATAAATTTTAATTTTAACAGTATTTTTTTATTCTGTTAATTATTGCCTAGAAGTGTGTGGTGAAATTTTGGTATTTCTGTTTAGGTAATTTTAATTCAGCGATTTATCAGTTACATTTTAGCTTTTATTTATGAAGTTGAAGTAACTGATTTGCATATAAAAAATTTTCCTTGCATTTTGGGATTTCAAGTCCTTTGAAGTATTTTGTCACAGTATTTTGTGTTTGGTACATTTTACTAGATGGAAGCATAAGGTTCAAGTCTATAGCAATGCCTTTGGCCTTTCTAAAACATGCCTAAGATTAGCAACAAGTCTCTTGAAACAGAATGGAGTTGCTTTGGAGACTTCGCTGCTCTCTTTGAAATCTGAACTGTTAATTTTTAGGTAAACGCCCTGCAGAAGATATGGAAGAGGAACAAGCATTTAAAAGATCTAGAAACACTGATGAGATGGTTGAATTACGCATTCTGCTTCAAAGCAAGGTATGAATTTTATTCTTGAAATTTTGAAGGGGGTTCATACTCAAGTGGAAATTAAGATAAGGTCTGGTTTGGCTTTCTAGAAAGTCAAAAGTTTTACAGATTGAAGAATATAAAACATTTGTTTGTGGTTCTTTCTAAACACACTTGAAGGCTCTGGTGGTTTTGTTATTCCACTTATAATTAAGATTAAAGCCTTTGCTGTAGTGAACCACCACTACAGGTCAAGCTAGGAGGAGAGTGTGATTCTTAAAGTATTAATAGATTAAATCTTAATTATGTGTGGACTCCTTAGGAAACTGCTTAGTTGGCAGTTTATTGTTTTATCACGGGTCACAATATGAAGGTACCTACTAATACTAAATTAATTGATTTATTTTACCAAAAGGTGCTATAAAATCTGTGCTTAGTTTTATTTTATACTCAGTGTATTTCTCATGTTGAGTACTCCAAACTATTTAGTCCTCAAAGCACTTAGAATTATATTTTGATTTTTGATTTGTTTTTGGCCTGGTCGTTTTTACATCCCCAAGTAGATTTTTATTCTTACAACAAACAGGTTAGAGGATTTTTTAGCAAAACCTAAGAGTATAGGTAGACATTAATTTTAGGGAAAGGCAAAATAATTTTTTGTCTTTGTATCTTCTCCAGAATGCTGGGGCAGTGATTGGAAAAGGAGGCAAGAATATTAAGGCTCTCCGTACAGACGTAAGTATTAAGATATTAAACTAGTACACGAGCAGCTTCAGTTTATATGTCTATAGAAATTTAAAGATTTACATCCTAGAAATCATTTCATAGTTTAGCTACAAGACATTCGTAACAATTTATTATTACAGAATTGATTTCAAAGTTATCCATTCCTGTTTTAACAAAAGCCCAGATTGAGCAGGGTTGGGGGGGTGGTTTCTATTAAACCTCTTCACATTCTAATAAGAGTCCACCAAACTATTCACTTCATCAAGCAAGATAACATCTTAATTAGAAATAGCAACAAAGTGTAAAAATCCTTGATTGCACCATCCTGTGTGTGAATCAATTACAGTATTACTGAAAACCATTGCAGGTGGCTGGTTAAATCCAGAAAAATTTTTTTTGTTTTCTTTGGGAAGAAAAATGTCCATCTGTTCTTTAACGGCTTGCACATGGAGCGCAAAGAATTTAATGTTGAGGTTGCATGATTTAAATATGGGTAAAGAATAGAGTAGGCACTTAATCTTATAATTGGGAAACTGTTCGTCAATGCCTATGATTTGTTTGAGTCTTCATTTTACAGTGGGTTGACTCTTGTGATTAGACACATTAAATGTTGGCAGTGCCAGAAGTGAGCACGTTTATAGGACTTGGCTACACCAAAATTTCTAAATTTTTTTTCTCATAGTGTACACATTTCTTAATGTTTTTCTTGCTAAAAATGAGGCAAATAACTTTGTGTCGAGTACTTATTTGACAGTATTTCATTTCTCTCTCGGTCGCAGATCTTTGTATGTTCCTCTTGATTACTGTAAACTGAACTTGAAATTTTGTTTAAAATTTTACAAACTTGCCTGTTAGGATCTAGGAATGCGTTTTAAAACCTCCAGACAACCAAACCAGTCTTATTAGTTAGGGTTTTTGGTGGTGTGGGAATTTTTGTTTTGTCTTTTATAAAACCTCTCTCCTCTTAATCCAGATGTTCTGTATAATTATCTGGGTTATTTCCCCATTTCCTCAAGAATTTCAGTAAACTTTGAGTCAGGTTTTGTGTCTACCCTCATGAGCCAGCCTGCTACTGAAACATCGTTTGTTTTTCTTAAAAAAATAAAAACGGCTAGAACCATCATTTGAGGTCCTTAATGTTAAGCCACAGTCAGATTTAGAGAAGTCCATTATTGTGTTAGTCTTCAGAACAACTTAAGCTTGTTTCATTA